CTAGACAAATCTTTTCCCTGTAAAAAATTTTTTTCCACCCATTTTCCACCCTTGCAATCAAACGCACCCTAAACAAATTGGTATCAAATATTATTTTTACAACACTCATAAAATGTCTTAGAATACAAGTGCAATGCATGTTCAATTCTGACCGGTGACTGTAAAAATTTAGATGTTTGTTAATTGGGTTATCTTTGTAGAATAAAAAGCAGAGGGACAACTTTTTTCTGTCTTTTGACTCAAATTCATTAGCACGTCCTCTCCCTTCCAAGACTATTGCTATTCCAAGGAGTCCAAATCCAAATCTCCAACTTAGACTATATTAAGAGCTTGTGTGGAAGAGATTTTAATCCAATTAAAATTGAAAATATAGCTGTTATTGAGTCTCACTCGTTTAATAAAAATCAACAATAATGACTAATTTTTCAATTTTAATTCGATTTTAATCTCTACCAAACAAATTCTAAATAACAATTGCGTATCAATTTTTCTCTGTGTAACGATTGACATTTCATATTCCCACCAATTTTCGGTTCTCACTTATTCAACAATTTCTACTTTTCAAATGACTCGTGAAAAAAGGTAAAAAGAAAAACAATACAAAAGGAACACGAAAGTATAATTAGTCTAAACCAACATTCCAAACCAACCCCCAAAAATATATGTACGTACGTATGTCTCAAGATTTGTAATTAAGCCCCATGTTTGGTTCAAGTTGATTAAAATCTGAATACGAGTTAATTTTCAATCACACATTTTATAGATTTCACAACTTTTCAACCATACATTTAATTATTTTTTATTAAAATATATTAAAAATCGATTTTTATCTAAATCAAACATGTGCTAAATTTATTATCCACCAATGATGATGTATCATGTCATCGATGCTCGGTGTAAGTTAATTATCTGTACTTAATAGATCATTTCTATATTGTCCCCGAGCATAAAATAGAAATCGCACTGCAATAGATAGGGTAGTTCTTGGTGGAACCTAAGTCAATGTTCGAAATTTCTGGACGAGAATTTGGCAGCAGACAAAAGACTATTCTTTGATAAAATTCAACCACCAAACCTCAATGTTCGTTTAGGTTTAGGTTTTACTCCAAACAAAGGGTTTAACTAATTAAATGACTAAATTATGCTCATTTCGCAAGTTAGTATAAAAAATTGGAGCTGGATAATAAACCGCAGGCGCTGACTCGGGGCTATAGCCGACATCTCGAGGCGGATTTTAATAAATCCGAAATCAAAATTGTGAGACGAATGATGCTTTCTCGACTAATTGGGAGAAATTCATCCTATTTGAAGCGGGATATGACATGTCATGATGGTACCGGACGAGAAGATATTTTGCCATCCTCGAAGGATGTTGCAGCCAATAAAACGGGTAACGAGAGAGAGATGCGGGGAAAGAAAATATTAGGGCCTCTTCTCTTTACCATTTTCAATCATTTTTCTGTTTTTGATTTTTCAAAATAGTGAAAATGCGTTTTCTTTCCTATTTTCGAAAACGAGTTTTTGAAGATAAGTTAAAAATTTATAAAGAAAACTCAAAACGACAAATTTATTGTTTTGAGTGTTTTCAGTTATAATCGAGTCAAAATTTTGAAAACGCATTTTGGGTGTTTTCAAAACAATTTTTCAAAATGCAATAAAGAACACATTTTCAACAATCTCAAAATGAACACTCAAAACACAAAACACAAAATAAATTCAAAACTCAAAACACAAAATTCAAACATAAAGAGAACAGCCCCCTATGTTTTTGGGACGAGAAACAACGGTTATTAAACTTATTGGGGATAGAAAAGTTTTTGCCGTTATTTTCTAATGTTATTACGTATGCCATGACCCAATAGTTTTTATTTTTAATTCTATGGTCATTATGTTAATGAATGCAACCAAAAACGATGACGTGATAGAGATGATATATTGTTTAAAAACGTAAAACCCTGACAAGAAAGAATTGTTTCTAATCTTTAAGCTTGGATACCACGTTAAAATTTACCAGAAAAGATAAAAGCGTGTTCGGTAGAGATTAAAATTAAAAAATTAGTCGTTATTGTTGACTTTTATTAGATAAGTGAGATCCAATAACGACTATATTTTCAATTTTAATTGGATTTTAATCACTCACAAACATCCTCTAAATGTAATAGCATAATTTTAAAAAAAAAAATGGCTCAATGGCTCACTTGTTCAAAACCGATGAGTTTTGGAAGGAAACCATATTTGATCGATTGGGAACCAGACTAGGTAAAGTTTAGTTGCTTATTCAAGCCGGACGAGTTTCAGAAGGAAATAGAATTCGATTAGTTGACCGAACCACTTCATTAGTAAACTTCTTAGTTGTAAAATAAGAGATTATACATTGCGAGTGTTTCTAACCTATCGTAACAATATGTAATATTTAATTACAATAGTAACCAGAGAATATATATATATATACAGAAATGATCTAATGAGCACCGGTGCTCATCTTATCCTAAATACCAATGAGTTGGCATATTAATTAATTTGTGGATTGGAACACACAAAATCTTTATCCACTA